GCTGGCTTGTGGGAAGGGGAAGAGGAGGAGTTAGGAAAGGTCTGACAACGTTGGTTGAAAAACTAAACCCAGAACACCTGGGGTTGCACTTGATGGGAGTTTCTGGTCAGAACTCAGAAGACCAGAACACTGGTAGAAATTCTGCTGGTAAAGACCAGGCTCAGGAGGTTTCTGCTGGGCAAAAGGACTGCATTGGCTATTGGATTTGACAGTGTGCATTAGGGCTTGACTGAAAGTTTGTCTGCATTTTGCTCATGTCCAGAGACTTTGCCTGGGACTTGAGATTAAGGGCAGTGAACTAATTAATCTGGTAGGAGAAATTTCAAGGCAATCTAATGTTGAGGCAGTGGCATGGCTACAGTGGGGACTTTTAGCCAGATTTATGTTGAAAATCAAGAGCAAAGAGGCCAGTAGAATGATTCAGAATGTTGGGCTGGGGATACAGTTCAGCAGCACAGTGCCTGCCTGGCAAGAGTCAGATTCTGAGTGTGATCTCTGATACAAAAAAAAAAAAAAAAAAAAAAAAAAAAAATGGATTCAAAATATTGTGAATTTGGCCAGAAAGGAAGTTGCAATAAGGCTGTGGCCTGAAAAGGTACAATAGAGGAGAAACTGGTCACTGAAAAGACTAGCAAGAAAAAGCCAAGTATTTCAGAAGACAACAACAGAAAAGATGGCCTAAAGACGTCACCAGCAGAACTCCAGGTTTTACAGCCTCAGAGTTACCAAGTTTAAAGGCTTTGCTTTTAGAAGAAAGTCCCAGAGTATCATGTTCTAGATTGGAAGCAGCCTAAAAAAAATCTGTTTTCCAGGATTGAGTTCAGAGTGCCCAGCATCCCAGGGACTTGACTACCAGAGCTATCACTATAGCTGGTGGCAGACTTTGGCATCAATCATGTGGTGTGGTTTAGGTACATGCAGAATGGAAATACCTAATACATACAACTTCCTAGGGTCAGGAAGAATTCCACCCAGATTTCAAAAGAAGGCCTGGGAGTGTACCCAAGAGGGCAGTGTTTGAAACTGTGAGTGTGTAATCAAAGATGCAGCGGAGACCCCAAAGTTTGGACAAGCCAGAAATGTGGATCTTCTAAGGAAAACTGCAAGCAGGGAGCAGAGCCAGCCCAACAGAGAAGCTAAGGGAACTACATCCACTTGCAGTGCCATGGGGATGGGTAGAACTACCCAAGCTCTTTGGAGTTCACAATTTGCTACAGATTGCCAGGAATGCTAAAAGCAGAACTATGTGATTTAATGTTTTCCCTGCTGGATTTTGGCCTTACTTTGTTTTCATTCCTTGCTATTCCTGTTTGTTACTTTTGGAATGGAAATGTCTATCTTATGCCATTGAATGCTGGAAGTGTTCAACTTTCTTTTCATTTTTACTGGGGCTTCCAGATAAGTTTGCCTTAAATCTCAAAGGAGAATTTGGATTTAGACTTTTCAGCAGTGCTGAAACTATATCCCCAGTGCTGAACCGACTTCAGCAACTCTCAGAGATGGAGTAAATACCTTTGTATAAAGGGATGTATATGAGTCTTTATGGGGCCGGGTTGGGACGCCATGGGTTGTATCTAGATGTTCCCCCAAAGCCTCACGTAGTCATAGGTGGGGCTTTTTTCAGAGGTGCCTGGATCTAGAGTGTGTGATGCTGGGATTAGTGGTGCAATGCTGGGCTCAAGGGCACTAGGATTAGGGATATGAGTGCCACTTACCCTAAGTAATTTGGATAAGATATAGCAGAAAGAAGTTTGCTATCTTCTGCGTGCCATGAATTGTTTCTGCTTTGCAATGCCCATGTGCCATGCTGGCCCACCTTGCAGTCAGCCAATTATGAACTGAAATCATCTAGACACATCCAGAAGTAAGCTTTACTAGTCTCCTAGGTATCTCTCAAGCTAATCATGCCAACAGTCAAAATTAACCATCAGAAGCTAGGCATGATAAAAAATGCCTATCATCCCAGAACTCCAGAGGCTGAGGCAGGAGGATGATGAATTCAAAGCTAGACTGGATTACAAAGTGAAATCCTGTCACAGAAGACCAAAAGAAAAGTAAGATTAACCATTATACCTAATGAAAGTTAACAAATATATTATGAAAAATTTGAACATGTACAAGAATTTTTTAAAGTAATTCTTCCACATTCTTGGTCTCCCCTTTCTCAATTATTTTGAAATAAATATTTGAATTAATGTTACTTTATCAATATTTACCTCTGAAAGATGAATTTTCAAACATTCCATCTAAAATTATAGTCATTCTTCAGTGTCATCAAATATCTAGTCAGTATTCAAATCTTTCTTATTGGTTCATAATTTTTTAACAGACCATTGTTTAGATCAGGCTAAAAATAAAGTCTATAAATTTCAGTTGCTTAATATTTTGAATAAATGAGTCCTTTTTCCAATAGTTTCCCACAGTATGGACTTTGCTGATTGTTAGTAAAATATTTCTGTTACAGGTAATTCCTGGAAAGTGGTCATTAAATCTTCAGGTTGATTGGATGTAATTTCATTTTCAGTAAGAACACTAAAATGCTTTTTATTTTATTTTTAATTAGATGAAAACCTTGAAACAGAATCACTTCCCATCACAAGCTATTTGACTACTTGGAGGTCCAGTTAGGAAAGATGAGCTGAAGTGTCCCTTTACTTACCATCTGTTCACTTTGAAAAAGGCTTACCTGAGAGCTTCAGATCATCAAGGACACAGAGTTTGCCTTTATAAGTGGTTAATTGTAGCTTGCTTCATTTTTAAAATCAGATTACATTTTTCAGAATATAGTACCCCACTGTGGTTTAGTGCAAAGATTTACAGTTAAAATGGGAATTTATTTCTAACAGGGTTGAAAAGAAATACATTGAGAATTCAAGTATTCACCAAGTGCCCTTCCAGTGTTTAGCTGCATTTCAGAGTTCATAAAATGTTAAACTCTTTTCTGAAAAGTGACCAACTAAATTATTTATAAAATGAAGGCTTACATCAGTGCCAAGTACTATTACAGTGTTTCATCTCTATTTCTGTTCAAGGAAATGCCACAGGGATGTAGTGGCTTTGGGATCAATCTAACAGGGTTGATTTCTCTTAAGATGAACCTGAGCAAGTTACTCTGCAGATCCCATATATGGTATATCTGGTATATAGTAAGGGACTCTGAAGTGTCAGTTCATATTCTGAAACACAATTATATTTTTAATGTTAGAAAACACATTTACGCCAAAAGCCTTCTTTGTGACTTTGTCTGCAGTAGGGGTGAGAAAAAGAACATTGCAAATTGCCTAGTACTATTAATTATAAAGCAGTAGTGGTAGCTGTACCAAGAATATGCCATCCATGATTCTCAGGGGAGTTTTGTGAGCTCAGCTTTAAGCTGAAGAACTATATGCTGAGTACTGGCAGAGCTGTAGGGCATAGAAGGCAGGTGTACATGAGAGGATTGCTGGGAGGCAGTTTAAAGAACTGGGCAAATGCCAGAGCTAATCTTGCCTTTGGTTCTACCCAGAGTTACGATCATAGACTGAGCATCACAGAGACATAAATACACTCTAAATGGACTAGAAAATAACTGTATCATACAGAGATACTTCCCCTCTGTTCCTGTTAAACTTAGCTCTCTGTCTCAACCTGCCTGCTTTGTTTCCCTTCTCACAGACTGAGTCAGTACTCCCCTATCCCTAGTTTGGCTCCCTGCCTTACTGGAGACCTATTATCCCATAGTTGTTGTATCTTTTGTGTCAGTGCCAACACATAGCTGTTAATTCATGGGGCATCAAAATGATTTCCAAGTCACTGAGAAACAAGCATAAACCCTGGAAGATGTATTGCCAGCCCCTTCCCAATTTTCAGGAGGAATCTGCCAATTAGAAAGATATGAAAATTGAGATAATTGAGGAGCCATATTGTTAAAACATGAAAAAGATTTTACAAGTATAGCTTCTGTTCATATCTTATTACATACTGAATTATAAGTTCTGTGGGCACTGTGTTCTTAGAATTAATTTTACAGACTTTACTGAAGTTTAATGCACATGAAGAAACGTAGAATTTACGTTATAGTCTCACATGGATACAACTGTCTTACTAATTTCTGTGACACAAAGGAATATGTAAAATTGTGAATTCATGAGATAGAACACTGTCAACTTTAAAACTGCATTAAGCTCAGCTGTAGTGTGCTGCATTAGACTTAAGTCTGAGTAATTCCTAGAACAATGTATAGTATTTTATGTTGGACAGTGTTTCATAACTGCTAAAAAAGTTGACAAGTTAAAAGATGAAATTTAACCTTAAGCTCTTCATATATATATTATGCATACACAAGTATGTGCAGTTTCTGGTGTTCTTAAATCTGTTAACTATAAACAATAAAAAGATACTGCAACAGAGAGTAGGAACAGAACCAGTTTCTGAGATAGAGATCAAATTGTGTTTATAGACATCATTACTGGCAGCTTTGGTATCAGTTGCTTCCTGTGGGAATATTTCATTGAGAGATAATTTTATTCCTTGATTACTCATTAAACAGCTTTGAGTACTGAAACGAAAGTATTACAGAACTATAAACATTAATGTATGTATATTAGTATAACATAGTATTTTCACAGATAAGATTATTTAACAAATTGTGTTTATTACTGAAAGAACTTTAAAACAACACTAATATAGTACGGTCTAGTGGAGAGTTAGGCAATAGACTGGAAATTAAAGCCATTTGTTTTCTCTAAATTGGAATTCATATTAAATAAAATATATATTCATCATATACAGTAGTTAAGATGCTTATTTACACTTTGTGAAGCATATGTTAGTCAAATAGAATTAGTCTGGCTTTAGGGAGTTTTTAAATACTTTTATAAGAAAGATAGAACATGTGTACAAACCGTGTAAAATAAACAACCTTAAATACACTATGACTGGGTAGTACTGAGGTTAATTTGTCTGTTTTGTGGAGCTGGACAGGAACAAAGTACAGTTGGACTTTGGAAGAATTTGAGGTCATGTTCATCTGGGAGTTTGGAAATGACTTCACAGGAAAGAAGGCAAGTGAATATAAAGGACTGGTAAGGTTTCTGCAAATACAGATGCAGGTAAAATCATTTCAGGAGGCAGAGAGACTGGGTACTATAGATCAAAGGAAGTTTAGAGCCTGAGCCTTTGATGAAGACACTATAACTAACACAGGGAAATAAGAGTTGGAAATAAGGTAAGTTAGAGCTAGCTTATTTTCTTTTATCCACTAGTGCCTGCATTTATTCAGCAAATACTTCTTAGGACCTACTAAGTGCAAGCTTTAGTATATCAGAGTAGCAAAAAGGTCCTTTTCAATATGTGAAGTTTTAAAATTATAGCTATGGAATCACGGATAGTGATAACATTGATTCTTAGCAATTACTAATAAGTTAATTAGTAGGCATCAATGTGAGGTATTTTATTTGAATACTGCTGCGTGAGATGTCATATTTTGGGGAGAGAGTTGGTAGTTTCGAATTACACTGCTTCTCATTTTCAGTTGTTTCTAAATCTACTATTTGAATTAAAATTAACTTATTTATATTTAAGCTGCAAACTAGGATATTTGTGGCTCTATTTCACAAGTATTGGTTGTTGTAACAATATTGTTGCAGGGCCTGGGATTTACCTCAGCGGCATAAACACCTGCCTTGCAAGCGCGTGGTCTTGAGTTCGATCCCCGGTACAAAAAAGAAAAGAATGTTGCTGTATTAAATTTTTAAAAGAGAGAGAGAAAGACTTAACAGTCACTGATGATGATTTTTTTTCTTTTGCCAAAAGGATTCCTTATTGAAAAGGAATTGCTGTAAACTTTAACTAGCCAGCTCCCTCCTGGCGAAGTTATAAGATCAGAGCGTTTGTAGAACACACTGCACCAAGATACAACTGTACTCACACTTGGTAAAACAATCTTTGTTTTCCCTCAAGCTGGGACTTGCTGGAAGCAAGCTACGCCTCGCGCCGCGGTGGCGCTGGGCAAGGGCTGGTGGGGGGCCGAGGTGGCGGCTGCGGGGGCGCTGTCCTTTCCCCCAGGTTCCTCACCTACGACCTCCCGGCTGCCAGGTTTAGACTCACCTTCCCGCTCGCTGTTGTCCTTTCCCTCCCCGCCTCCACGCTTCCCTGCTCCCCGTATCACCTCGCACACGGTGAGCAAATCTCGAAGCCCGCGGCCCGTCCCGCCTGCCCGCCCGCACCTGAGCTGCGCGCCCACCCGGGGCCGCAAATCGACGGCCCGCACGCCCCGTCCGTCCGACGCGGCCCGGGTCTCCGGGGCATGCGCGCTGCGGCGCCGCCGCCCTCCCCCACCCTTCCCGCGGCGGAGTTATGCCAAGTATGTGAGGAGCCGGCAAGGGCCAGCCCCGGTCATGGGGGGCCGCCGCCGCCTCCTCGAGTGCTGCGTTCTCCACAGCGGCGTTCCGACCTCTCCCCGCGGCGGGCAGCCCGGCTGCTGAGGCGGAGGGGATGGCTGACCCCCTGAGGAGGACCCTTTCGAGACTCCGAGAGAGGCGGGGTCCCCGCGGCTCTGCCACGGCGCCGGCGGCGGCCTCTTCGGCTGCCGAAGGAGACACCTGGGGCGCCCTGGGCTCCCCCCGACGGGAGCAGGCTGGCGGCGCCCGGCGGAGCGCAGAGCCTCCCCCGCCGTCGCCTGGGGCCCCGGGACGGCGGGGGGCTCGTGGGCCAGGGTGGTTCGGCGGGCAGGAGGCCGCCCCCCAGGGCCACGCTCGCGCTTCTGCGCCCTACTCGGAGGACAGCGCGGAGGAGGAGGAGGACGGTGCGGACGCCGACGCCGACTACTACGAGAACCTGCCCGGCAGCGCCTGGCCCGCGGCCCGGCCCGCGCCTGAGGGGGCGGAGGCGGAGCGGCGGCCCCCGCCTCCCTGGCCGGCGGGCTCCTCCCCGGGGGCGGAGGGCTGCCGCCTGGAGACGGGCAGGCTGCGGACCCAGTTGCGTGAGGCCTATTATCTGCTGATCCGGGCCATGCATGACCTGCCCCCTGACTCGGGCACGCGGCGGGGCGGCTTGGGCTCGGCGGATCGCGGCAGCCCCGCGGGAGCCCGGGCTGCTGGCCTGCCGCCTTTTCCCCGCGGCGCCGCCCAGCGCCGCGCCTGCCGCCGGGCCCTGCAGCCGGGAGGCGGCGACTGCCCCCGGCAACAGGTGTCCCCGCCCTGGTCGCCTCTGCGGGAGTCGGGGGCCGGCGGGCTGCGCTGTCCTCGGATGCGGCTGTCCCGCAGCAGAAGTCTTGAGAGTCTCCAGGTGGATGCCAAGCTGCCAGCCTTCCAGCGGTGGCCAAGCGACAGCTATATCAGGTGCGGCGCGCGCGGGGACCGGGACGAGCCCCCGCCACGTGGAGGCGGGATGGACGGCTGGAGCTGGGGCGGCGGCGCCCGGGCGACAGAGCCCGCCGACCTCCTGCGTCGCGGCACTCGCCAGCCCGGCCGCCCCTCGCGAAGCCCATTCGGGGATCCTGCGGGCACCTATGTGGTAGCCAGCGGCAAAGACGACTGTCCCGAGGGGCCCCCCTTCCTCAGGCCACCTGCGGTGACGGTTGGGAAGCTGCAGAAGTGGATGTACAAAGGGCGCCTGCTGTCCTTGGGAATGAAGGGTCGCGCCCGCGGGCCAGCTCCGAAAGTCCCGGGAGCACCGGCAGCCTCTGCGAATGCGAGCCCATTGAAAGTGCAGGAAAACCACGGCCTCTCGTTGCCTCCAGACCAAAGAGTCACACTGACAGGTAGGACACCTCGCGGTCACTGTGCCGACACGCGAGCCGGACTTCTGTCTTAGTAAGATGTGCTCCAAAAATGACTGTGCCTGAGTAATTGGTCTGTTAAGTGGTCTGTTAAAGGGAATGCTATGCATTCGCCTTTCTCTTTTTCTTGCTCCCTCTTTTCCTCCTTCCTTTTTCTCTTCTTTTTCCTTCCTGTTTTCCCTGCTTTCCTTCTTCCGTCTTCTCTCCTTTTTCTTTCCTCCTTCTCTTCTTTTTTCTTTCTTTTTACAGTTCTTTTCTTTTTTGACAGTGGCACGAAGAATCAGTGTTTTGCTTTTTCTTCTCTGAGAGCCAGAATGCTTACTCCCTTAGTGCAATTATTGAGTAAAGGTTAAGTTCACCACAGGGTTGGAGATGGGAGGTGCTGACTTGATTTTTCTCTGTAGCTTTAGGCAAATCCGGAGACCTTTGTGGAGATTGTGAATTTGAATTTGATCCAAGGTGGATTTTATAGGCTTCGTAAACTGTCATTTTACTTATTACACCCTCCTTTTTTCTTCTTTCTCCCAATCTCTTACGCAGAAACACATACATGCAACCAAAATCAAAACAAGTCAGAGGTGACATAAGATTTCTTTTTAGTCAAGATAGCTTTTCACATCTTCGTCCTTCCTCCAACAAACCCCAGCAAAAGTGAGTAATCTTTTTAGTGGAAAACCAAGGCTGTTGGTGTATATTAATCAAAAGAAAAATATTCCTCATGTAATTTTTAAGGAAGTACGAACTCTTAAAGTCATAAAACTGAGTAAAGACTATTTATAATAAAAGCTTTTTGTAAAGTGCATTTGTCCTTAAAATATGATTGTTCCTTATTTTGCATGTGCATAATTTTTAATTATCATTAAAGGTTTAGGTTATCAATTCTGGAAATCTAATTATGTTGTGAATATAAAAAATTTCTTCTTACAAGAAATAGCCAAAGTGACATGGCCTTTTGAATTCCACTCTTAGATATTAAAACTTTTAGTGAACCTAAGACCTACATGTCAGTAATAGCTTTTAATGCTAAAATATGAAAACTATTCATGAGATTTGACAGTTTCTCTGATGAGAAGTACAAATTTCAGGGACCAGGTAAATACAAATTAACTTTAACCAATAAATTCACAACAGTGAGGAGGAACAAAGTTCACAAAAGTTATAGTCAAAGAGGATAAATCAAAAGGTTTATTTAAAGTGTATGCTAAGTTGAAAAGTTTCTTGAATCTGTAAATCTCTAGTACCTACCTGTCAAGTTTTATTGTTTTAAGTATTGTTTCACCTGAATAAAAGGAACAGTAGAATGCCTTTGAGAAGAGGTACACTTTATACCAAGTGCCCATTTAAGAATATGCATTTCCAGGAGTATCTGTAGTCATTTGTATTTTATTGTCACAGTATCTTTACCTTCCTGGATCTAGACTCATTTGATTCTTTGTATGATAGTTGCAATTTATCCATAGCAAAAATCTGTGTAACTTTAGTAAACTATTTTCTACCTTTTGTAGCAATGGTAAAATGTTTACCATTTGATGGCTTTTACTATCCTCAGTAATAGTGTAAACTTTTTCAGATGTTACTTCCCTTCAAATCACAAATTTATCTTTTAGGAGGCATGAAAATAATTTTTAGTATTTATATATGTAATACAGATTTGGAGAGTTTTTTTAAAAAACAATTTTCATGAGTTAGTGGGTTTTACTAAGACCATTCAGGAGACATTACATGGTTATTCTATAATTTTTTGTACTCACCCTAAAAGAGATATCACAGCTGTCATTTAACTATAGCCATAAAAGGAACATAGAAGTTAAGTAGTTTGCCGAAGGTCTGTCACCTGGTTTATGAATTCAAACTGTTGTGTTGATTCAGACTCAGGTCTCATGATCCCAGAACTCCTATTTACATAAGGTCAAAGTGACTCCAAAGTTCTGGAGAAGTTTGATCCAATAAATTATATTAAGTTGCGTGGGCTGAGGAGATGGGTTTTCATACATTAAAGGAGTAAATAACTTCCGCAAAGAAAATGAGGGAATCTTGGGACAGGTTTTTAAAATTTTTTAAAAAATTGTATCCATTTTAAACCTTTACCTTATTTTATTTCAAATTGATGTTACTTGAATTCTACTTTGCAATCATGTTTTTGGGCTGGTGCTGTAGATCTATGATAGACTCTGCTGAGCATGCTCAAGGAACTGGCTTCAAACTCTAGCAATGAAGAAGTAAATAAAAATTATGTTTTCAAAAAAATTGGAGCAGTCCAAATGAAGCAGTACATTTGGAGACGACTATCCTAAAGTGTTTATATTACATTTTTCTGTATGATATATATGAACATATTTTCTTTCAAAATAAAATTACATTTGGATTTATAATACAGACTAACTGTATAACAGGATAGAGATAAATAATCTACACTACTATGTAGTTTGAATTTTTGAGACCATATGACATGTGGAATCTTTTGATTTCTGGTTCCCACTAAAAACCATTAAAACTTTGGATAGTGTTATAATACCAGTGATTTGATGCACTTAAGTATGTAGTGTTTGCAGATTGGCCAATTTGTTCCTAATTGAGGTGGTTATTTAGGAAATCTAAAGTTATTATGTATAGTAAATATTGTCAAGTTTCTACAAGCCTAAGATTATGAAGGACTCTTTATTTGCTAACTATACTTCATTATAAATCTTTATAAATAAGTTTGAATTAGCATATAGTTCACAGCCATATATTTAGTATTAATTTGTTTCAGCTTCTTATTTCTTTAAAAAATAATTAGTTTACTATGGTTTCATTTTCCACATAAGCTATGAAAGAAGAAGTTTTAGGTATGTAGTGTACTAATATTTTTCCCTAAAAATTTTAGGCAATTCTTTGAGTGTAGTATTAATTAAATGGTATGATTGTATCCATTTTAAGTGGTCATGGTATTATAGTGCAGAATGCCATTCACTTTTCTCAAATATTTGTAGCTCTGAACTCTCATGAGATATATCATCTTTTCTGGATTGAGCCACTTCACTGTCAGTAACAATAGGCATGTAATTGTGGACAGTCTTAAAGTTTTAAATCACTCTCTAAGAGAGTGCTGTGGTCCTGGTAGCAAGTGCAGTTTTGGTGTTTTTGTTTTTTTTTTAATTGCTTTGGAAGAGTGCCATAGAACATTGCAGTTGCTGGTGACTGGAAAACTTTGAGAATTACAAATTTAACAGAACATAGTGTTGTGTTGATTTGAAGTCCTGTGCTGTTTAGTCAGTGATTTCTAAGAACTACAAAGGCTTTTTTTCTAGGCCCTTGCTACTCTATAAATTATTGTTCACTGTTTAAGAAATGTGCTTTTCAAAATTAAAAAGCATATAAATGCCCTTGAAAATTATGTTAAAATGCAGATTCATTGTGGTCTGAGACTTGAGCTTCTGCATTTCAAGAAATTTCCAGTATAGATGGATGGTATTATTTGGCAGTCCACACTTTTGAGTAGTAAACTTTTAGAGTTATGTTTCTCAAAATTTTAAAAATGCATTCTACCTTGTCCCAATACTTACACAAACACTAGCCCTAATTAGAACAAAGCACTTGAGTTTTTCTGTTCCACTCTTATATGTGTGAGTTAATACTTAATGCTTATAATATATGATTTTGAGTAGTTCCTTTAAGGTTGGTCTCATCTTGCAGCAATAAGTGTTAGGCTTCAGAATCTGCAAGGCAAGAGGACATAGTGGTGAGCAGAATGGAGATTCTGGGTCTCTTATTAGACTACTGCTTACCAGGTGTCTTGTGACCTTAGACAAGTTACTGAACTTTGTGTGGCCTCAGTCCTTAGGTTGAGAGAATAAAAAAAGATGATTCATTTGGTATTGTGCCTGATGCTTAGCTATTACAGGAATACAAGCAGGCTTTGAGAGAATACCGCTTACCACAGACCATTAGGATTCTAGATGGAGGGTGAGAAGATTAGAAGTTGAAGAGTACTGCCTTGAGCTTTGGGAATGGAGCTAGAGTACCTGATCCCCCCACTTAGGGATGTTTAGTTATTCTGCTCATCTTTTCTTTTATATTCTTTCTCTTGCTCCTCCTTGTTACTTTTGTGCATCTGAAAACAGTTTGAAAGTTCTCTGCTTTTCAAAAACAAGAGCCTAAGAATTTTTATTGGTAGTTTTTATTGATAGAAAAGAGAAAGAGGAAAAGTGCTTTTTTCCTATTCATTTTACCTTTCTTCCTTATAGATTTATTTGGGGAAAAACATGTATGTGCATAAATACATAAATTTTAGCATAGATTTAAATACATGATGCTCTTAAGGATATTTTTATTTAGTTTTTTTATATTAGGAATTGAACCTAAGAGCACTCTACCACTAGATTGTATCCCCAGCACTTTTTTTGAAAAAAAATTTTTTTGACACAAGGTCTCATGCAATCCAGGCTGGTTTTAAGTTTACAGAAATCCTCCTGCCTCATCCTCGCAAGTGCTGGGATTATAGGCATGTGCCACCATTCCCCAGCCCCTAGTACTTTTTTAATATTTTATTTGAAACAGAGCCTTTTAAAATTGTCCAGGGTGACCTCGAATTTGATATTCTGCCTCTGTCTGCTAATGGCTGGGATTATTGGTGTATGCCACTGTCAGGCTCTGTAGTGGAAACCTTAAAATGATGAAAAGATGTTAGGTGCTGCACATAGTTGAAATATATAATTTTTAGTTGCTGATGCTTTTAAACAGAAGGCACTAAGTTAGATGTTTAGTAGTGAGTACTAAGTATGGTGGCACACACCTAAAGTTGCAGTGCTCTAGGAGGCAGAGGCAGGAGGGTTCCAAGTTTGACCTTCAACCTAGGCCATTCATTGATTTAGTGATACCCCCAATCTCAAAGTTAAATAATAAATAAAGAGGACCAGAGGTATAGCTCATAAAAAAGCCCTGATTTAATCCCCATTAATTTTTTTTTTTTTGTCTTTTTCATTTTTATCGGTACCAAGGATCGAACTCACGACCACCTGCTTGCAAGGCAGGTGCTTATGCCGCTGAGCTAACTCCCCAGCCCCAATCCCCATTAACTTTAAAAAAATAAAAAAGAAACTTCAGTAATAGTAGTACATGTAGACTTCTTATGAAATAATGGTTGGGAAAACAAAATTGGCTTGAAAAGTTCCTCACTGTGTAGAGTATTCTGAGTGAAGAATTTTGCAGAAACTGCCTCTTTTAAATTCTCTTATATTTTCAAAACAAAATGGCTTTAATTAGAACTGAAAATTAGAGCAAAGCATATATACAGACTTTTCAAGAGAATAAAGACATCTTTGCCTTGCAACTTTACAAAGTTGTCTTTGTTTTTACTTATGCCCTCATATATGTATGTATCCCTGTCTTGAATAATGTTTAATTCATCTTTAATAACTCAGTTAGTTTTTAAAAACTCAGTAAGCTTGACTTTTATGAGAAATCATAATGTAGTTGTTTATCTCTAAACTTAAACTTCAGCATTATGTATTTTGCATGTTTTTTTTTTTTTTTTTTTTCTTTTGTTACCGGAAATCAAACTCAGGACCTTGCATTTGCCAGGCAGGCACTGGTGAGCATCAAGCATTTTGAAATAAGGTGATAGTAATCAGCCTGAAACTAACGTACATAGTTTCATGCTTTTATCGTTTTATTAAAAATAGCTGTAGTATATCTCATAGTGTAATTTTTCCTTTTAGTATTACACTTTCATTACTTATTTTTATAAGGCTGTCTGTCCACTTGCTTAAATATGAGGTGCTAGTAGATTTATTTTTCTTACTACAGTCTCTTGGAATGTAATACAAGTAGATGAATGTCTGAAGAATCACTTATAGTGTATAATATCTAAAAAAATTCTGGTAATTCTCAAAGTAATACGTCTAATGCTACAAAATTTTGAGTGCTATAAGAGATTTCTGAGAATAAGATAAAAATAAGATGTGGTCCTTAATTATTGTGAATTACATAATTTTATACTTTCTTGCTTCAAATTTATAATTGTGTCAAAACTACATATAAATAATATCCTGTGTAGGTCTGAAATGCCTGTAAATAAGGTTTGAATATGAAATATATTTAGATTGCAGTGCTCTTGGCAAAAGCATGTGATTGCTGAGAACCCAAAAGCTTCAGTAGTTCCTGAGCATGAGAGTGATTTTTATTTGTGAATTTTAACTGTAAAGAAGATATAACCAAAATCTTCAGGTTTTCGTTAATTAAGCTAAATAAGTTCAAGGTATTATTGAGTATCTGTTATATGTTTGTATGTTAAGTCCCGGAGAGAGAAGATGGACATCTCTTAGTAGTAGCCAAGGAGTCAGAAGAGTTTTAAGTGCTGCCTCTTTTATTTATCAGTGGTGGTCTCAGGCAAGCTACTTGATTTTTCTGAATATTATTTTATAGTTTTCAGTGTATCTAAACATATAGTAAAACAGATTGATACTATTCCTTGTCCTGTGAGGGTTGCCTGCTTTCCAACTGTTAATGAGTAGCATAGTGTGGGAAGAAGATTGACAGTGTGGGTTTTAGTATTAGAAAGGCTTAATTTTGGGTACTGTGCTACTGGCTCTTGACTGTATTTTGCATATTCTTTGAAGCTTATGGTATAATCATACTCATTTCATAGGATTGGTGTAATTTCTTATTGCTTTGTCTCTTCTACCTGGCGTATACTGTAATAGTCACTTATTTGTCTAGTGAATGAATGGCCAACATCATAGAAGTTCATTGGCACTTCATTTGCTACTGATATTTGCACCTGGAATTAGCTGAACTTGAACTTCAATTTGTTTGAGGTTGTTTTGGTTAGTTAAAGGGTGGTAACTAACAATTTTTTGAATGTTACTGAGTTACTCATAGCTTATTGTGTTTACCTCTCTTTTTATTAAAACATGTTTTATTTGCTGTAGCACTAAGGTAAATGAACCATATATACCTATTCAAAGTAGTGTAAGACCATAATTCCCTAATTTACAAACTTGACATGATCTTAGATTTCTAAAAACTGACTTTTCATTATCTGTATGCAGTGAATTTATTATTATAGTGGACAGATATTTAGCTAATTTCTGTCATTGAATCCTGTTTTATGCAACTCCTTGGAAACCCAAATATATATATATAAGTACCTGATGTCTCACATTGAATTATGAATTTCTTAAGGGCAAGAATTATTTTGTTCATGTTTTCATTTTTTTTTTTTTAATTTATTTTTTCTCTTTTTCTTTTATATCGGTACCGGGGATTGAACTCACAACTGCCTGCTTACAAGGCAGGCACTTATTATTTTGTTCATGTTTACCTGTTGCTAAAATTTATCTTCAGCCAATGATAGTATAGCTGTGTTGTCTTACTAGGTGATGGAGTGTTTGGTTCTAATCTAGACCTCCTTTAGAGAATTTTATTTTTATTTTTACCCTAGGTATTTATAACTCAAACTCTGTATAAGATACTACTTATAAACTCTGTATAATATACTTGCTGTATATTTAAGAAACCTGTGTTATGTTGAAATTTTAATAAGGCATATTTTTTTGTTGTAGAAAGTTTATCTTTGTGTATAAAGATAAGACTATTATATTTTCTGATGACTTCTGGTCCTTTAAATAGTTGAAAATTATTCAACTATTAAAGGTATACTATATACAAAGCATTCTATATAAAGTTTCTAAAAAGTATATTTTGCTTAGGGTAGGGTACTGTAAGGCACATGTCAAGCTCAAAATTCTGAGACTTGTACTAATAGACTAATTTCTGAGTAATAGAAATCATATTTAGAAAGACAATCAGTTTTTTGTTAGATTTTATTGGTGAATGTGAGTAATATTATTTTTCTTTTTCATTCTTTTAAAAATACTTTAATAACTGAAGTTTAATAACTCTCTTAGAGAATCAGGCATTATACCTTTTTTTTCTTCTTTGAAATAGATTTATTGGAAGATGTTTATGGCTCTTCAGTGAAGAGAAGAGAACTTGAAGATCTGAAGGATAACATAGAATTCACAGGTCATAAACCACTGAACAGCATCACTGTTTCAAAAAAACGCAACTGGCTCTATCAGAGTAGTCTAAGAGCTCTTAATCCAGAAGAAGAAAATAAAAAATACCACAATAGAAGCAATTTATCCGTCTCACCTGTGTCTCCACCTTACCATCAACTATCACAACCTTTCCTGAAATCATCTGAAGAATATTGTACATATATGGTTTGTAATGCTACAGACTCTTCATTGTCAAGAAACTGTTCTATAGATTTTAATGAGGAAAATGATGCAGATGATGAAGGAGAAATATGGTACAATCCTATTCCTGAGGATGATGACCTTGGCATGTCAAGTGCTTTGAGTTTTGGAGAGGCAAACCCTGGTACCCTAAAGCTTCCTGTGACCAGTTTGAGCATACTTTCTGATAGTGATCTAATGAAAGCAGAGCAGCATACTGAAGATTTGTTGTGTTCTTCCGAACACATGGGTGATATTCAGACCATGCAGTTAAATGAAATGAATCCTACAAATTTCATCCATTCTACAGAATTTGTGACACAGCACACGCAAAGGCTAGGACGTAAGACACAAGAAGATATGATGGTGGAGGACAGCCCCATATTGAAATCTCCTTTTGCAGGTAAAGATCATACATTAATGTTTTCTTTCTTCTTTTTCTAGCCTTTGATAATTGCTAAAGCTAGATATAAATGTCTTTTTTTATGTTCTTTTCCTTATGCTCACGTATAAAGTGAACATATTTTTACACACAAAACTCAAGCATATAGGGCCTGGGGATTTAGCTCAGTGGCATAAGTGCCTGCCTGGCAAGCATAAGATCGTGAGTTCGATACTTGGTACCAAAAAAAAAAAACCCTCAAGCTTATAAGTTTTTTATATACATGGCAGTTTATTTTTATCATAGACTTGGTTTTGTAATTTTTTTAGTGTGTTGATCCTCTGAGACAATAATTGCTTTTTTAAATTTAAAACAGCAAAACAGGAAAAAGGGTAGAATTGATTCAGAATTTCAAAAAATTAAGAAATTGACACTAAATAATGTATAACATTGTTATATTAGAAGTAGTTGTTCAAGTTACAAGATTTAGGCATGAAAAAATAATCAAACAATGAAAACACAAACTGTTCTTTTGGATGAACTAACAGATTAGTAGTATAGTTATCGTGTGTGTGTGTGTGTGTGTGTGTGTGTGTGTGTGTATGTAGAGAGAGAGAGAGAGACCTTTCCCTTCTTTCTTCTCTCCTTTCCCCAGCCCAGTAATAACTGCTTTTCTTTTAGTTGAAAGAGTGTAACCATAGAGAGTAGAAAAAAATATACTTTATGTAAATCTTATTTTGCTCATTCCTTCCTTCATTCGCTTGTATTTGGCCTGGCCAAAGCTGAAAAGTTGTCTTTTAGTATATCAGGGATTATTAGTTTATAATTTTGTGTCTGTGAGCAAAGGAAGGGAAGAAAAGGAAAGAAAGAAGTAGAAGTAAAGACCTTGCTAATAAGAGGTGCTATATTAGTTAAGGAACCAAAATATCAAAAATTTGAAGTCATTCATATGTATATATGGTTGATATGTGTGCTGATGTTTGGCATCTTTGAATCTATTTTTTAAAAAGGCATTTCATGTTGTTTAACCTAACGGTTTTTGTTTTTTGATGGTCTTCAGTTGTCTGATGTGCTCCTATTGGTCACAGTTACTCTCCCCAGGTAGCAGAGCGTGAGGCTCATTTGGCTGTAAATGTCAAATGAACTTAGTGTATTTTATAACAAGTCATTTTAATTTATAGCATCTTAAATGATGCAGAATATTTAGAGATACAGGGTGTAGCAGATGCTGTCAGTGACTTACTTCCATATTTCTTGGTTTTTGTGACTTTACACTTAAAGTGGTGAAGCATGATTCTACCCACCAGCCTGAGGACTTCCTCTGAAGTCAGGGTATCTCTCTGCTGTGCTGACAGGAGGTGATGTACAACTACCCCTGCTCCCTCACTTTTTGGGCACACATTTCTGAGTAAATATTTTACATTGTTCCCCTAACTTTTTCATGATTTTAAGCTGCAGTTACCCATGGTGGTAGCAGTCTTGATATTCACCTTGAATTTTCTCCCGAGTTTTCTCACTTGTTGGTGTTTTTGTGCTCTTCAAATAAACTATTTTCATTTGCATATCTTACTTAGGGACATGGAGAGGTAGAATAAATGTTAGAGTAAGACAAAAAATGAATTTATAAAACTGTATACTATATGGTGACAATTTTGAAAGAAACACTGATTGTTGTACTGGAAATGACTGATGTTTTTGTTTTCTAGGTGTTGGGATTGAAGGAAATTTAAAACTTTTCCTTTGGGCATTTCTAATTGCAGACCAATTTTCTAAAGAAAATATGTGTTTTTTGTAATCTGGATGGGAAGAGAATAAATACTATATGCAGTAGTGATTTTGACTGTGGGTTATCAGAGAAGATTGCAGTTCACAAAGATGAGTACAGAATGGAGCAGAGAAACCAAGAGGGTATAAGGGTAAGAACATAGTTAGAAAGCCATCACCTATATAGTGACACAACATTTATTATCATAAAACTACTAGTTTATATTTGTGGCAGATTGTAAACCTAGAACTGACAAGCATTTTTTTTATTTGTACTTTATTTTTTTATTAGTACATGTCTGCAGTATACAATGATTACAGCTATTGTGGGGAGTTGGTACATGCACATAATACATCTAAACCCATCTTCCTTTTTCTTTTTTGTTTTTCATCCCTTAGCCTTTTCCCCCCTTCCTTGTAACTGTTGATCTACTTCCCATTTGCAGAAGCCCATGTGGTTATCATTTTTTTCCACTCCCTGTCTTCCCTGTTCCTCTGTCTCTTGTGCCCCCATTCATTTGAAAAAGTTCTCCCTAGTTCTTTTATCTATCTTCTGTTTTTCTCTTTATATATATTGAGTTTTTCATGTAATAGAAACTATGAGATACTTAAATTTTTATGTTTGACTAATTTCACTCAACATTATGGTCTTAAATTGCATCCATTTCTCTGTGAATGCTTCATGTTTATCTATCGTTATGATAAAGTAGTATGTAAATACTACATTTTCTTTTTCCATTCATCTGTTGATGGGTATATGGCATATAAGTCATTCCCAAGATTTAGTTATTGTAAATTACACTCCTGTGACATGGGTATGTATGTTTCCCTGTCATATTATTTCTTTAATTCTGAGGAAGGTACCTAGAAGGAGAATAGCTGAGTAAATGGAATTTCTTTCTTGGTTTTTTGAGGAATCTATACATTGATTTCCATAATAGTTGTACTAGTTTGTGTTCCCCCAACAAACATTTAAAAAATGTAAAGTATGGAATGACAGATGCTTATATTTCTTTTTTCACTTTTGTTCTTTTAGTAATTCAAATCCAGCAAGCACAATCCTAAATGGACCAAAGGAAATATTTAGGCAGTTTATTTATATACCATTGTCTTAGTTACTTTTCTTGTTGTTGAGACCCAGAGTTAGAGGAGGAAAAGTTTATTTCATCTCACCATTAGTAGAGGCTTCAGTCCATAGCCAGCTGTTTCTAAGGCAGGGTGGCCTGGCAGGAGCATATCACAGAGAAGGAAGGTAAGGTAGGCAGAACCCAAAGAAGCAGCAAGCTGCAGCTGCAAACCTTTTTTTATCTATCCCTTTATATTCTATCCAAGAGTAGAATTTTTTCTATCCCTTTTTTCTATCCCTTTATATTCTATCCAAGCTACCAGCCTATAAATTGATGCCACCTACACCTAGGGTGGGGCTTCCATTATCAGTAATTCCAGTATTACACCCGTATTCATATTCACACACTTTAAATCCAGCCACCTCTGAAAAAATCCACTTGCGAGGACATCTAGATACAAGTGATAGCAGCCATGGTGGTTTTGTTTGTTTGTTTGTTTGTTTGTTTTTTTAGTTTGATAGAAATGTTACTTAGAGTGATTTACTTTCCTGATCCGGCCTGCAGAACATCAACAAGTTCAGAACTCCTGGAGGGGAAACGGGGATTAAATAAAAGACATAGGGGAGACAAAAGAGAGATGAAAGCAAGACGAAATAATCCGATCAAGCTTCCGGTTTATTCAGAAAATAATCACACCTTTTATAGGCTAAGGGCAGGAGCTGGGACAGGAAGAGGTTAAACAGATGAATACAACAGGGTTACCATCACATCCAGATACGTGACGTAAGCAGAAGAGGATTATGGTTAATGTAGGCAGACGCAGCCCCCATAGGAGAGAGAGAGAGACATCGAGGCAGCAATGCCTGTCACTCGGCTCCCTACACTTTCCTTAGCAATATTTGTAGTAGTTGTAGTTGTTGGGAGAGACAGTGGTTGAATTTCAAAGTAATTATTTGATCAGAGAATAGGAAAGCTAATGTACAAGTATTTTTAATATGAATGACAACTTTTAGATTTTCCTTTTTTCTTTTTCTTTCTTTTTTTTTTTTTTTTTTGGTACTATTACCTCACACTTGCCAGGCAGGCACTTGTACCACTGAGCTAAATCCCTGGCCCTATGAAAGACAATTTTTTTTTTTAAATGGATTTGAGATTTAATGTTGATACTTTGGTATAATTTGAACTTTTAAAATATGAAGTGCCAAAAGTAATTATTTGGCTCACAGTTTTAGAGACTTTGTCCATTGATCAGTATGGGTTCAAGATAAGACAAGCTTAGCAGAAAAACAGAATAAGCTAAGAGTAACTCTTACAAACCTAAGAGTTTTACCTTTTTACAGGTAGGAAATAAGAAATTATTCTGTTTTCATCTTAAGGCTAAGTTACTTTTATTTTTTTTAATCAAATTTTCTTTTATTTTGAAAGTAGTAAAATACAACAGAACAAGATAGAATAAAGCCAACTGAGACCGTGTAGTGAAATCGGTACAGAACTTCCCAGCAGGTTACCAGGATAATAGTAATAGGTATCACAGTATATTTCATTATCTTACAATAGTTGTTCTTTCAGTCATGTATATCAAAATAAAATGAAATACAGAACATTATAAAACTTCTCAAAACAGAATATTGAGTAGAGCAGTACCATTAGTCAGAATAAAGCAAAATAGTAATAAAAATATTTGCCTTCAAAGAGATGGTAGAAAGAAGTCCCCCATATTGCTATGGTCAATCTCCTAAGAGATGCTCAGATTTCTGGTTCCCACTTGCTAACACGGGGACAGGGGAAGGAGGGTGGGGGAAGTGGGATGTTTGACTCTAGGCCATGCACCTATAGGTTCACTATTGCTTAGCAGGGAAGCAGGCTGGTTGCTTGGTTTCCCAGCATCCTAAATTCCAACATGGTGTGGATCTCAGGAGACACTGGTGGTTCTTTCCTGGAGGGGCCGTAGTCTGCCACACCACAGCCACTTACCAGGGAGGGGAGCTGCTTGCTTGGTTTCCCAGTGTCCTAAGTTCCAACATGGCACAGATATCAGGAGACACTGGTGGTTCTCCCTCTGGAAGGGCTGCAGTCTCTGAATGAAATTTTAAAAATTGCTCTTAACAGTTGTGCTTTGTTTCTGACCTAACTTCCAGATGAATATGACTTTTATCTAGTTGCAGTCAGATTGAACTTTCATTTTGCTTTTTTTCTTGGTGTTATTCATTTTGCATTTTTACTTGTAAATTAGCATTATTGATGGTTTTTGTTAATTGGGTTTTATTTTTGTTTGTTTGGCCTTTAGCTCACTGTGTAGCCCAGGCTGAACTGGAATTTGTGGTGATTTCCTGCCTTAGCCTCCTGAGTGCTAACAATATCTTTTTGGGGGGAGGGCATTGAGGAACAGGGTTTTTCCTATGCAGTTCAGGGTGGCCTTAAGCTGCTTTGTAACCCCAGCTGGTATCAAACTTGCAATGATCCTTTTGCCTTAGCCTCCTGTGTCCCCAAGTACTGCTGGTTAGCATTATCATCTTTTAAGCTTTATTGAGTTTCATGGAGTTGATGCACTCTAATGTACTTGACAATTTTCCTGGTATCAGGTATTGATAGATTGTTTTCATTGTGATTGCCGTGATCTTTCATTATATGTTTTTTCTCTTCTCTTCTCTTCTCTTCTCTTCTCTTCTCTTCTCTTCTCTTCTCTTCTCTTCTCCTTTGCTTCATTAGGATCACTTACTAGTATCACGACTAGAACTTAACGGCTGATGACTACTGGTGATAATTTCTATATTTCTAAAAAGTTTACTAATTTGCAGGGCTGGTTGGTTGATTCCTTCATTGATTCAATGAATGTTGAGGGATAGTAACTATTCTGGGTGCTAAAGGAGTATGCTGGTTTCACTTGACTTTACCCTGGTACTTTATATTTATGAATTTTCATTCTGTATTTTCTTTTTATATTCTGTGATTTGATTAGTATATTGTAGTTTAACTGTAAATGATTGTGCAATTTGGTACTATTTCAGCTTTTGGGTTGTATATAATAAATATTTTGGTTTAATGAACTAACAATAGAAACTACTAGCTAACATGTATTATATTTAATTTTAACAATAAAAAACTTCAAGAGGAATTATTTATCTAATATGTAAAAAAAAGTCACAATGTAAAACTCCTTAAAAATTTAATGAAATCCAGAATAATTTCATACACTGGGTCATTTTTCTAGGCTCTGATAAAATAGATTAGTGTTTGTAGACTAACACAAGCCTTTGATTACTGTAGAATGTTTTAGAATAGGAAGCCTGTCAAATTGTACTGTGATTTGTAGTATAAGGGGATGCCTTGTATAGTTTATAAATGCTTGATTACTTACTAGCTATTACCAGAGGAGCCCAGTAGGCATACTTGAAATAGTCTTCTCTTTATAAAAGGAAACTTACTTCTTTGTGATTAGGGCATACAGAACAGGGAGGAGATAGAATATTAATACTTTAAAGAAAGACTTCATTTTGTCTATTGATGTTTTAAAATGAATAAACACTTTTCCTCATTTTGATTGTGGAATATAGTTTTACATAGGTTGGCATCTGATAATAAGGTTATTAGATGTTTGCCTGGAAAGGATAGTCAGAGTTTGAAAAAGTAATGTAAATTGTAAAAAAGTGGGATATTAGATTATTTAAAGGAAAAGTTTTAAATTTATAATACTAGGTTTTAGAAAATATTTTTAGTTTGCTTTATTAGGAACAGTACAAATATAAAAATGAAATTTGGCAACCTCTTTTTTTAGTGGGAATGTGCAAGTTTAAATAATAGTTGAGAAAAGTCTTTAATATCAATTTAACATCTATAACTGGGCATAAGTGTTTAGGAGGATGGAGAGGCTCAAAGTATAGCATTTGAGAGTATACGCTCTGAAAGTCAGTGCATCGCTTTCAAACCTGGTTCTGTGGTCTTGCAGCCCTGTAATCCTGGACGAATTTGACAACTGTATGCCTGAGGCTCCTCATCTAGTAATGGGGTACTAATGTTATTTACCTCATATAGTAATATGGGAATTAAATGAGGGTCTGTGCGTACTGAGTAGCTCAATAAGTGTTGGCTGGTGTTATTATTGAATCATAATAAAATATTAGTTTACTGACAATAAACTACTTTTAATATTATTTTTGTCAAAATACTTAAAGTTAGATTTATAACATCAAAATTCAATTACTCACTGACTAGAGTTTGCTTAGTCTTTGGTGATATAGTCTAAGAAATTTAGAGCAAGGAAGGGCTCTTGGTTGCCAAAGTTATAAACTTGTTTAGTTTTTAAGTTTTTTTTAAAACCAGCACTGCTATGTGGTAACACTTAGCTTTAGAGGACTATAAATATAGAAGAAAAGCATTCTTATAGTAACATTTCTAGTTAAAATATATTATAATAGCAAGTTTTCTTAGTTTCATCAGATATATACTATTCAAAATTATACTCACTGGACCGTATTACAGTAGGAGATGTTTAAAAGTACTTGTATTACCCTTTTTCCCAACCTTCAGAATAGGAAGATGGAGAAAAGAAGCTTCTTTCTACTGTAAGCTATTTGGACATCCTTGATATGTATTGTGCTTGAGCATGGAGATAAAGAGTGACCTGAACTACTAAGTCTCCCCACTAAGATGAAACAAGGGAAGAATTTGTCCATGTGATACCTGTTTAGTTGATATTTATAAAATAAGACTAAAAGTAGAAATGAAAATGATCACTTTATAATCTTTTTTCTTTCTTTTTAAGGTCCTGGTGTCTTAGCTGCTACAAATAGAACTGAATTGGGAATCATGGAACCATCTTCACCAAGCCCGAGCCCTGTGAAAAAAGGCAGTTCAATTAGTTGGTCTTTACCAGATAAAATAAAATCTCCACGAACTGTGAGGAAACTTTCCATGAAAATGAAGAAGTTACCAGAATTTAGTCGAAAACTAAGTGTTAAGGGAACCTGGAATAATATAAACAGTCCAGAGAGTACACCTTCCTTTTCTAAAAGTAGCTGTAGAGAAGTTCATCATACTGTTATTCTACCTTCTGGGAATACTACCACCGCTGCCAAGAGGAATGTTATAAGCCTGTACCATCTTGATACTACTGTATCTTCTCAGCACAGCTACCAGAACAAAACCTCTGTGAATTCAAAATATTCCTGCAAAGGTGGTTATCTCAGTGATGGAGACTCACCTGAACTTATAACTAAATCTAGCAAACATGGACCTGAAAACAAATTTGGAAAAGGAAAAGAAATCATTCCAAGTAGTTGTAAAAATGAAATAGACATAGATGCTTTTAGACATTATAGCTTTTCTGATCAACCTAAGTGTTCACAGCACATATCTGGGCTCATGAGTGTACATTTCTATGGGGCTGAGGATTTAAAACCCCCTCGGATAGATTCAAAAGACGTCTTTTGTGCAATTCAGGTAGATTCAGTAAACAAAGCAAGAACAGCCTTGCTCACATGTCGGACAACATTTTTAGACATGGATCACACTTTCAACATAGAAATTGAAAATGCACAACATTTGAAATTAGTAGTATTCAGTTGGGAGCCCACTCCAAGAAAAAATCGAGTGTGTTGTCATGGAACTGTTGTTCTGCCTACCTTATTCAGAGTGACAAAGACACATCAATTGGCTGTCAAACTTGAACCTAGAGGTCTTATTTATGTGAAAGTGACTCTCATGGAACAGTGGGAGAATTCTCTTCATGGATTAGATAAAAATCGAGATTCAGTATTATTTGGTGTTGACATTCAAAAAGTTGTAGAAAGAGAAAATGTAGGATTGATGGTGCCACTCTTGATACAGAAATGTATTATGGAAATTGAAAACAGAGGCTGTCAGGTATTATTTCACTGTGTTTCTCTACTACCACCTCCTTTATTGATTTAATTATTGATTATAACTCTTGGGGAAGAAATGCAAGGTAAGGTAAAAAAAATTGTAGACATTTTCCCACTCTACTCTTTATTGTTTTGGTATTACTATTTAGGATACAAGTCATAGCTACAACCTGTGTTGTCAGTGACTTGAGTTTGCTAGATGTTTTCCTAATTTGTGCTGTGATTCAGAGCTGGGAAGGTTTGATAAGTAGAGATTAAGAGGGCCTTACAGTGGCTTTCCTAGGAAAAGGTAGGACTGATAATATAGGCAAATCCTAATTCTTTTAAGAAATGTTTCCACATAGTTTGCCATTCTAAAAGAAGAAGTTCTAATAGTGAATCCTATAACCCTGTTTCATTTTTAAAATTAACTCCCTGCTCTTATTTCCTACTGCCTCAGTCTGTCTCTTTGGAAGTCAAAAACTTACCACTCTTTGCTTTGGGATATCATGGAGGCTGAGGAGAGGTCCTATTAATAAGAACACAACTCATTCCTTTTAAGTAAGAAGGCAGAGGTAACCATTAAAAGAAACCTGGTATGTAAATGTTAGCTATTAATACATGTGACAGTGATAGATAGCATATAACAGGATATTATTGAACTATAAAAATACACAAGTTCTTCTGTAACAAATTAAGCCTAAAAAATCTTTATGGCAGAAATATTTTTGTTGTGCCCCTATCAGTTTTTATAACATTGACTATAAAAAACAAAGATAAACATAAAAAATGTGAATGAAATATAACTTCTTGATTTAAAATATCAATATTAGAATATTAATGTAGAAGCTATAGAAATAATATAAGTTAGTGGAATTTTGTATTACGGTACTAAAGTCCTAAATTCTGGTTTCTCCTCTGTTAATTATTTGGCTGTGTGATGTTGGGCAACTCACTTAATCACTGTGGGTCTTGCTTGTGTGCATAAAAAATGCCGTAGCTCCCCAAAGCTGAGAAATAGGACATCTAAAGTCTTCCAACTTAGACACATGGTTCTGTCTAGTTTATTTTGTCTGTAGGAAAGGGCCTGTAGTTTCTAATTTAGCTTTTTTTTGTCTTAAGAGTCATTTTTTCCCCTTTTCTTCTTTTTTTTAATTTGGCAGTGTGTAGAGTTTAGAGATTAGGTGGTGACCTTAAAGCTAATTATTAAGCAAACTTTTACAGTTGGATATTAAAGTAAGCAACTTGAGTGGCTTTGTACTTTTACAGTTTGTTTTCCAAAGTATTTATGAAGAGTAGGTGTGAAAAGATTGTTAATCACCTTTTTTTGATTGCCAAAAAAAAATTTTAGCAATGCCTTTTATTTCTCTGAAGTTTAGAAAAGTTTATTTTAATAAAATTTTCTCTGAATTGAAAGCTAAGATTTACATTGTACATTTGGAAATGTACTTTTTAAAAACCTTTTTTTGTTTTGTGCTTGCTTCTTCTTTCCCTATCTAGGCACACCCACAGAAGGAGGCTTACTATGTTAGCATTTTACAGACTATTATACTGCTTAAATTTTGTTAACCTTTTTATGAAGAAGTTCTATTTTTTTTAACTGTGAAAATGAAGTTTTTATAGTCATATAAAAATAATGCATCACAAGGCAGGGACCTTTGCATTTTCCAAATGCTTTTGATACTATTACCACCTATTTTCTTCTTCCAATGGGAAAAATTACTTGAGATCATATTCCTGGTCCATGCAGTACAGATTCTGGCTTTTGATAGAAGCAGCAAACAAATATTTCATGCATTTGGTTAAAGAACTCAGCATCTGAATTTAGGGGAAAAGGAATATAATTGGCTGTTTCTTTTTTTTTTTCTTTTTTTGGTACTGGGGATTGAACTCACAACCTCGTGTTTGCCAGGCAGGCGCCTACACCACTGAGCTAAATCGTTGGCCCTAATTGGCTGTTTCTAAGGAGGCCAGAATGGGAAAAATAAATAAATATATAAAATAAAACATTTTTTATAAATCAGAAATGAACTCAGAATGCTGAGCCTCCAAAAAGTATATATTTGTCTCCAATACAAACCACAGATATTTCATTTTGTTTTTTGTGTTTTGAGACAAGGTCACTCTATGTAGTCCATAGCTTGTAGTTCAAGCTATCCTTGAACGTGAGTCAGGATCCTAAAATATCCGTTCTTTGAAATAACTTACATCTAATCTTCACTTCTTCATTCATTCTTTTAAAAACTTCACCTTTTGGGGGTGAAATATGAATTTATTGTCTATCTAAGTGGTACTTCTTCAGCTTGTAGGGTCATTTTCTTCAGGAGATACATCTATATTACTGGATTTTATGACATGTAAATATGTCTACACCAGCAGGGTTATAAACAAATTTGTTTCTCTAATTGTGTCTTTGAATCCTGTTTAATATCTTGTCTTCATTTTATAGGGCAGCTACAGTACTTTTTTGAGGGGGAGAACAGGTCTCACTATGTAGCCAAGGCTGATCTCAAATTCACAGGGATCCTCCTGCCTCAGCTTCCTGAGTGCTGGATTATAGGCATGTGCCACCTTGTCCTGTCTCCATAGACCATCTACATTTTACTATGTCTGTCATGAGAGTGTCAGCCTAACATATGGCCATCCTCAATGTACATGTATCAGCAAGACTAGGAAGTTTGAATTTTCTTCTTAGTGTCTTCCTTGATTTGCCATAGTATGTCAATCCTTTTGAATGTAGCACAACTTTGTATTCTTATCTCTTAGAAAGAGTGTGCTTCTAATCATGGAGCTTATCATCTCAAATAGTTTAGATAAAATTTCTGTGTGTCATTTGACCCTTTCTCATACAGACTCAATTTCTGTCTTTATTCTGTCAGTTCTTTAGAGACTCAGAAGACTTCAGATCATAACTAAACTTGAAAATTTCATTTATGTTCTCCTATTTCTAGATTATTTATAACATTATGATTCCTATTTCAAATTCTTGAGGATAATCTTTATTTCTGTCTTGAAATAATTTTTTTCTCCATACCTTTGTTCACCTGACTGAGCTTTCTAAGTAGTCTTTGGTGTAGCAGTATAGGTGATGGCCACTTAATACTCATTAATTTTCTTAATGCTTATTCTTTTAAATAACTCATAGGTTAATCAAGCTTTTCTTTGCATAGACCAAGTTGGATTCCTCTCTAAATTTATAGTGAACTTCCTAAGATTCTTTTAGAGTCTGTATGAACTAACTGGTTTCCAGGTTTTTTAAAAATTTGTTAATTTTTTTTATTTTTTATTTTTTGAGACAGGGTATTCCTATGTAGTTAAATCTGGCCTCGAGCTCATTGTGTAGCCAAGGGTGACATCAGATTTGTGGCAGTCCTCCTGATTCAGCCTCCTAAGTGCATTAAGTGGATTACAGAAATGTACTGCCACACCTGGCTGTTGAACTGTTTTAAAAACAAATATTGTCATCAGAGGTTGTTGCAGTGATTATTATTTATGCAATATGTACAACTTAAGCCAGAGACTTTATCTTACCTTAAATGTATTATTTAAATTTCTTCCATTGCCATATAATCAATTTGATATGTTAAAAAAAACCTCAGATTTCTTTTTAATTCTTTTTTTCCCCATGAAAAGCTTTTCACAAATAGTATCCTGGTATCTTGTTTCAACTATATACTGATGTATAGATAAACTGAAATTGTAAAGAAATTAAAAATCTTGCCCAAATTTACGAAGCGAAGAATGACAGAGTTGGGCTTTACAACTCCAAACCCCTTTTTCTACTATGCGGGACAAAAGATGTGAAAGGGTACATGGTCAGGGTATGGAGATAAATTGGTTAATTGGCTGAGTACATAAAGCTTAATTAAGAGAATGGATTATATCTTTTTCTGAAATAACTAGGCCTACAAAATCATTTTCTTTTAATCATAATATAGGATTATTTATTAAACTAATTATAATCTGAGATTTCAAAAACTAAAGTATAGAACATATTTGATTCAGAACACATTTGATTAGCAAGTTCATGTATTTGTGTTGTATTATCATATTTTTACTTGCCAAATTTACTGTAATGTGGCCATAATTTTATTTCTAGGTAGTAGGACTGTATCGATTATGTGGTTCGGCAGCAGTCAAGAAAGAACTTCGAGAGGCTTTTGAGAGGGACAGCAAAACTGTTGGTCTTTGTGAAAACCAGTATCCAGATATAAATGTAATAACAGGTAACAAATAGATTTTATTTTGTACACTTACTGTAGAAAGACTGCATCTGCAAGAAAAATAATTCAAACACTATTTTTAACCTAAATTTAATTTGTATTATTCTGAACTCTTACTTTCCTTTCTTCAGAAAAACTACTCACTGTCATTTTCTATCCAGAGATACTAACTGTGATCCTGCTCCTAAATAGCCAACAGCTCTTGGGGGAAGTGAGACTTACATTAAACTAGGTATAGGTATAGTAGGTAACAGACCTCTACCTTTGCAGATGGATAAATCAAATGTCATACGAGTTCAGTTTTATTGGAGCTTAGGTAACAAAAAGATGTTTGACCCTCTGATTAGAGAACTTAGGCTTATTTACTAAGCAGAAGGGATTCATTAAATATTTTTGAGTTTGAATGATATTATTAAGAATTGTCTTTAGGAATGTCAATCTGGCAACTCCATGTGATAGATTGAAATGAAAAAGGAAAGGAAAATAAGAAAGTCTTGGCCGTAGTCATAGTAATAAGGTAATGAAAGCTAATAGATGCTTGTAGCAATAGAAATAGGAAAGAGTAAGATTGAAAGAATGTGTCATAAGAATGATTTTGAAAACTGGTTGATTGGTTATTGGTAAAAGAAATAGGAAAATTATGAAAAGGGAAATATATTTTTTAATTGTTATTTAAAGAAAGACTAAAAACAGAAAATAGGTAGAAATAATACGTTTAGAGAAAAAAACAGTAAGAAATCACTAGTTGATGTTTACATATTGTCGTTTTACAAATAGTTGTTCAAGGTGCAAAAATGGAACATGTAAAGTGGGAATTCAAACAGCGAGACTGCAAACAGTTCTGTTTAACTGTCCAACAGAAACTTAGTAACATGGTTGTCAATCCTATACACTTAAACAAACATGCAGTTATCCATATCTTCATTTATGTTTAGATTAAACAAATCAAAGCAGGTTAAAATCATTCTGAACAAAGAATAATAGTATTACTGGATTTCACATCATGATACTATGTGATCAGCACTGGGTAATGTAGTGTCTTTTTTTAAAATTTAATTTAAAGAAAGACTAAACAAAACAAAAACGGGTAGAAATAATATATAATTTCAAAGAAAAAAATAAACAGTAAGAAATCACTAGTTGATGATTACAGATTGTCTTCTTAGAAATAGTTATTCAAGATACTAAAGTGGAGCATATAAAGTGGGGATTCAGACAGTGAGATTGCAACCAGTTCTGTTCAACTATCTAACAAAAACTTAGAAATATGGTTATTAATCCTATACACTTAAACATACATGCAGTTATCCATATCTTCAATTATGTTGAGATTGAATAAACCGAGGCAGGCTAATATCACTTTGAACAAAGAATAATACTATTGCTGGGATTCACATTGTGACACTCTAGTATCAGCACTGGGTATTTTAGTTTCTCTTTTTCTTCAAAGTATCTGTTCATTTCATCATGTGTCATAAGATCAGTTCTCATAAACTGTTTATAGATTCTACACATGCATGAGTCTTAACATGTATTTCTATCCTTTCTATATTAGAAGGAGAAACAAAACAAAGCAAGGCAAAACAAAACATATTCCTATAAACACATGAAATAAATAAACATATAAGACAGTTGTGCAAAGAGTTTTACCATGGTTCCTGTGTTGTCTCTTGTTATCTCCAATAGAATTGGCTATATCATCAGACATAGTATAATTGAATATATCAGTGCATAACAGTATTAATAAAAACACAACTTTGTATATGACATAGAACTTCAAAAACCAGCAGTTATCAAACCAAAATGTGTATCAAAAAGTCTTGTCATCTTCAGTGCAGTTGCCTATACTCTCAGACTTGATACTATCAATCATACCAGTTTTGAATAAAATCTTCTCTGCCTCATTTCTGTTATGCTCTTTTTTGCCATCAGTTGTCTGCTTATCTTCTTCATTCTGTTTTCTGTTCCATGCATTGAGGCCTCTCTGCCACTGTTCCTGGAATCCTAGTACTTTTCTCTCTCTCTAGAATGCCCTGCTGGATTCTCTGTAGAGTTGGATTGGTGGTTGCAAATTTCCCAAGTTCCTCTTTGTCTTGGAAGCATCTTGTTTCTCCATTAATTTCTAGAGACAGTTTAGCAGGGTATATCAATCTGGGATGGAGGTTATTTTCTTTCAGGACTTGGAATATTTCGCTCTAGGCTCTTCTTGACTTGATGGTTTGTGTCGAGAAGTCTGCTGTTACTCTTATGGGCCTTTGAGAGGGGAAATATTAAGAAAGATTATGCAGTTAGGCTTTCGATATATTTGAAATAGTAGTAATAGATCTAAATGGATATATCAACTAAAGTTGAAAGTGCTTCTTTGTCACCAGCAAAGGATGTAGTGGAAATTTGAGACTCTTTTCTTTATGTAGATGGTAAATATAATCTAATATATAGCATTGAAAATATGTTTTCAGTACCTATTCTGAGAGATAAAGAAGAAAAAAATGAGAGTTTGAGGGTCACTGGCCTGTAGATCCTATTAAATCCTAGCAATTTTCTATAAAATATGAAAAGGCAAGAACCTAAGAGAGCTCCAAGTTTGGAGACAGGAAGAGAAAGAAGAACCATCCATAGAAGTTGAAAGGAGTAGTCAGAAAGTTTGAGAAACAAGAGACAACAGAGATTAAGGAAAGGTATTATATAGTGATATTCTATGGAGAAATCATACAATATGAGAACAGAAGAGGTCTCTGAATTTGGCTATTAGAATACTCAAATATACAAAAGTAGAATATTATGTTAAACCCTATTTATTACCTATTTATTAACATATACCCAAACGTGTCATTTACATCCCCCATTTGATCCTTCCCAAATATAGATTATGTCTCAAAATAATTTTACCAGTGAAAGATATAGATCTTGGTGGGTGGGGGGAAAGGAGTGTCCTGCAGTATGGTTCCATTGTATAAATTCTAGAAAATAAAACTAACCTACAGTGACAAAAAGATCAGTTGTTGCCTTAGGATAAAGGACACTTCAAGGAAGGTACAAGCAGGAGAGATTACAAAACAGCCTCAGGAATCTTTTGAGGTGATACTTACATTCATTGTAACTACATTCCATGGTACATACATATGTGAAAACATACAACTATACACCTTAAATACGTGCATTTTATTATATGGGCAATTATGCCTCAAGAAAGCTGTTAACTTAGTCTGTACATCCACTGTGATGCTAATACCACACTATTTACTGGCGCTTTGTAGTAACTTTGAAATTGAAAGGTGTTAGTTCTCCGATATTCTTCCTTTTCAAGATGTTTAAGCTCTTCTGAGTTTTTGAAATTTCTGGGAATTTTAGGATTAGCTTATAAATTCCCATGAAAAAGCTAGCTGGAGCTTTGATAGAATTTGTTTTGACTGTATAATCAATTTGGAGAGTGTTGCCATGTTGATAGTAGTAAGTCTTCTGTTCTACATACTTGGGATGTGGTTCTGTTTTATTTAGATCTCATACACTGAAAAATGATTTTAAGAATAAAAATATGCGTTTATTTTTGTTTTTCTATATATGTTCAATTCTTTCTGATGGTATTATAAATGGAATTACTTTATTAATTTCTTTGTTGGTCCTTTCATTTTTAGCATATAGAAATAGTTGATTTTTGTATATTGATCTTTTACTGTACTAAACTCATTCTAGTAGTTTTTCAGTGGATTGCTTAGGATTTTTTACATAAAAGATTATGCCATCAGCAAACAAAGATAATTTTCTCTCCAATGTGATTTTTTTTTTTCTATACTAGAGACTGGACCCAGGTCTTCACACTGAGCTACATCCCTAGCCCTACCCCTTGATTTATTTGTTTTCTTTTTGAAACAGGGTCTCTCTGTAGTTTAGGCTAGTCCTGACCTCACTAAATAGCCCAGACTGGCTTCAAACGCATGACAGTTTTACCTCAGCTTTTCAAGTGCTGGGATTATAGGCATGCAGCACTACACCTGATGGTTATTTTTTATTGTGATACATTGTCATGTCACATTTACTAGAGTGGACTCAAACTTGTGATCTCCGTGGTTCTTTCTTCCAGAGTGCTAGAATTACAAGCAAGTGCCACCACTTGTGGTTCTTTTGAATCTGGATTTTTGTTACTTCTTTTTGTTTTTTTTAACCTAATTGCTCTGACTGGACTGCCAATATAATGTTGAATAGAAGTGTCAAGAATGCTCTTTCATTTGTTCTGATATTAGGTGCAAATCATTCAGATGGCTAAGCATGATATTAACTGTAGATTTTTCATGAATTATCTTTATCAAGTTGAGAAAGTTCTATTCCAATCTGGTTTTTTAAATCATGAATTGTATTTTTATCTTTTTTTTTTTTGCGGTACTGGGAATCGAAATGAATTGTATTTTTAAAAAATATCTTTACTGAGTCTATCAAGAAGCTTATCTACACTTACTCTTTACTCTATTCCTATGTTGCATTAATTGTTTTTCAGATGTGAACCAACATCTCTGACATAAACTCCATTTGGTTGCAGTATATACTCCTTTTTAAAATACTGTAGAATTCTATGTGCTAGTATTTTGTTAAGTAATTTATAGTGAGAGATACTATTTTTTAGCTCTTCTGATAGTTTTAGCTGATTTGGTATCATGTTAATACTGGTTTTATAAAATGAGTTGGGAAATATTCTGTACTACTTTTGGGAAGAGTTTATAAAGAATTTGGTATTAATTCTTTAAATAGTTGATAGTGCTCCCCAGTAATGATATCGAGGCTTGGGATTTTCTTTCTGGAAATTTTAAAATCACTAATTAACTAACTTACAAGTGTGTTTAGGTTTTCTGTTTTTCTTTGAATTATCAGTTATTTCTATTTTTCTCAAGTTCTTTCATCTTAGTTACCTAGTTTATTAGATGCAGTTGTTCATCATACTTTTTAAATAATTTTTTGTTTCTATGAGGTTGGTAATAATATCTCTTTTCTTGATTTTAATCATTGAGGCTTAGTCTGTCTCTTTCATCTTTTTTATTTTTCTGTTTGTTAATGTGCCTAAAAGTTTGTCAGTTTTGCTGATCTTTCAAAGAACCAAATTTTGATGTCATTAATTTTCTATCTCATTAATTTTCATTCTAATCTTTTTTTATTTTCCTTTTACCTGCTTATTTTGCGTATAATATGCTCTACTTTTTCTAGTTTTATAAGATAGTAAAGGCCATTTTCTTCTTATCTGATATAGACATCTAAATACTATAGATTTTCCCCTAAACACTACTTTGGCTGCTTCGTAGAATTTTTTTTTTTTTTTTTTTTTTTGACATAGGATCTTGCTATATGGTTCAGATTGGCCTTGAACTCATGGCAGTCCTCTTGCCTCAGTCTCCCGAGTACTGAGATTATAGGTGTGCCTAGTTTGTTTGCTTTTTTGACCTATGGATTATTTCAAAATAATATTTGGGGGATTTTCAGGATGTTTTCTGGTATTGTTTTTTCATTTCATTCCAATATAATCACAGAAGATACTTCACAGGCTTAAATGTTTTCATAGTTTTGGCAGTAAGAGTGATTTTTAGTGTCTGCTTTTGTCTATTTCTTTGATTTATTACTGAAGCAAAACTTTTGTGTGTTTCTTTTATCTTTCCTATAGCTGAGAAATACTGCTCTCCAAAGTATTTAATTTCATTATCATACCTGATTATTATTGGATATCATTTGATACTATAAGCTTTTTTTTGCCGTACTGGGGATTGAACTCAGGGCCTTCACACTGAGCTACATTTTCCAGTCTTTTTAAAAATTTTCCAGTCTTTTTTAAAAACATTTTGAAACAAGGACCTGATGAATAGCTGTGTTGCCCAAGATGGGATTGAATTTATGATCCTCCTGCCGTAGCTTTTCAGAGTGTTGGAAACACACGCCTGGTTCTATAGACTTCCTCGAAACATGTTTTTCTTGCCTTTCCCTGGCAATACATTTACCACCTTCTGTCACCTGACTCCCAGCCTCTTCTTCGGTATTCCTGTTTCACTATTCTTATATAGTCACTTTTGGAAAATTTTCTTCCCTGAAAAATTTGATATTGTTCAGGATTATTTTCTAGGCTTTCTCTTATCACTATGTTTGCCTCTCTCATATCTCACTTGTCACAATTTTTAATTGATCATTCTCAGATCTGTGTCTGTAGTCATCTCTCTCCTGAGGCTCAGTTTTTTGTTTTTGTTTTTTGTCTTTTTGAGACAGGGTCTCACTGTGCAGTTCAGGCTGGCCTTGAGCTCACTTTGTAGCTTAGGCTGGTCTCAAACTTACAACAATCCTTCTGCCTCAGCCTCCTGAGTGCTGGGATTACAGGCATGAACCACCACACCCAGCTCAGTTTTTCGTTTTTTTTTTTTTTTTTTTTTTTTTTTTAAATCCAGCAACCTTGATTATCTCAGATGGTTCCAAATGAAACTCTTCTACCTGCTAAAATATGGTTTTCCTCCGTTGTTCCCTATTTTAAGTAATACCATTTGTATCTGCCTGCATGCTAGACCCAAACCTAAGAAAGACTATTCTTTTGTTGTTTTCTTGAGACAGGATCTTGCTCTGTAGTCTAGATGGCCTTAAACACATGGTAATCCTCCTGCCTCAGCCTCCTGAGTGCTGGAATTAGAGGTGCGCACCAACACACCCAGTCTAAGAAAGATTCTTTTGTTCCTTTTCCCTCAAAATTAGAAGGGCATTTTTGATTTAGCCACCTTGCTTTGGAAATTTATATTATAGACATGTCTGCCTTTTTACAAAGGGATGATGTACAAGGTTATTCAATACTGCATGTTTTAGAATAACAAAGGATTAGGCATACAGTAATTCAAGTATCTATCTGGAGGGAACCAAACAAAGTATGGACTATGGGACGTCCATCCATTGGAATACATTGATATGACTATAAATGACTGATGATGCTGTCTGTGTCCTGAAAAGATCACAAGGATATGGTGTTATAAGAAAAAGCCAGGAAGAGAACAGGACATACATGCTTTTATCTAATTAGGTAATAAAGGTACAGAAATAATACATTCGCATAAACAAATCTGAAAAGAATGTCAAAGATACCGATGAACCATGTTACTCTTAAAAATTGTCAGATGAGACGCTTCCTATATGATTCTGTTGAATTTTCAGAGCTTTTAGGTTAAGTTCTCAGCTAAGCTCTGAGCATGTTTTGAATCAATATTTTATGTATCAAGGCTTGTGGAGTCAGAGTTCCCCTCCTTTTCCTTGTGATCACATTTCAGCCTTTAGCTAGTACTCACTTTGCTGATATACTGGTTCCTCGTCTCACGAATTTAATTCTTTCCACAATTCTAGCCTCAAACCAAATTGGTCCTAAACTGACTCACATTTTTTCTTCAACATTGAATCTTATCATTGAATTTGATTTGGTTTGTGATCCTTTTGGTGTGAGACTAGAATTATGGAGAGAATTACATTTGTGAGTTAAGGTACATAGGCAATAATTACCATTTGCTTTTTTTTTTTTGTCCTGGGGGTTGAACTCATGACCTTGCGCTTGCCAGGCAGGTGCTTGTGCTGCTGAGCTAATCCCCAGTCCATTTGCTATTTTCTATATTACTGGCAGTATCTTTTAGTTCAAAACCATCTGTGGAAGGCTGTGGATTTAACTCAGTGGCTCGAGCATTAACCAGGTAAGCGCAAGGTTGTGAGTTCCATTCCCGGAACCAAAACAAACAAGCGAGCAAGCAAACAAAATAAAACCATCTGTGGTATATTCAATATTTGACTTACATCAATTGTGATAAGTCTCATGTTTTGGTTTTGGTTTTGGTTTTGGTTTCATTTGTTTGGTTTTAGGAATGATTTTGTATTTCTTTCATAAGATAGTACACCATTAGAGATTACCTAAACATATAGTACATATCTTTAAGACATTAAGAGATGAAATATATTTATACACCTCATTTATTTGCAAGGGCTTTGGGCCACTGGTACAACCTAAAAATGGTGACGGGATATTACTTGTGTGCATTTTTAGGTTGCTTTCTATTATCAAGATAATTTTAAAAATGCAAAATGCTAGTGTTTTGCTGTTAATACTTTTAATATTTTGTTGCTTTTATTCTTTTTAGAATATTAAAAGTTGGCTATAATACATTTAAAAATTCACTTTTGTTCTTTATTTTACTCTGAAAATCAATCACTGTCTCTGATTTGTACCCCTCCAAAGGTGTTCTTAAGGATTATTTAAGAGAGCTTCCTTCTCCTCTGATAACAAAGCAGCTTTATGAGGCTGTATTAGATGCAATGGTAAAAAGTCCTTTGAAAATGTCATCCAATGGTTGTGAGAATGATCCAAGTGATTCTAAGTACACTGTTGACCTGTTGAATTGTCTGCCGGATGTTGAGAAGGTAAGTATAATTGGCATACATTTTCCTAAAAGCTAGCTAATGAATTAAATGTTAGCAGCAGAGCTACTTACAATTTAGTTTTTTGACATTTGTGACACTCAAGAGTTTAAACCCTGTCTTTACTACTTTTTGAATAGTATGAATCTACAAATCAGTTTTATTTTTTCTACATCTGACTTTAGCCTAGGCACGAATATATAGAGAATAGATTTATTCAAGGATCTTAACCACAAAAATGATCAGTAAGTGAGATAACAAATACATTGATTAGTTTGATTCAACTGTTTTGCAATGTCTGTTTCATCTTGCTGCTGCTTTTTTTCCCCCCATTCTCCTGACCTCCCTTCAATTCCACTTCCCATCCTTATTTATAAGTTTTGTTTTCATTTTTTTCTTCTGTTCTGTTTTTGTCCCTTCTTTCTTTCCCCATCAGCTCTCCCTTGTTTCCCTTCTCATTTGAACCCTTTTTTCCCATTTCCCAGTATCTGTAATACATTTTGATTCTTATTTATACTTTCAGTTTATCATACCAGAAACAATGAGGTATTTAAACATGTGTGTCCAATTCACTTCAGAGTATGGTGTTAAGGTGCATCCATTTAGCTAGAAATGTCTCAAGCTTATTTTTCTTTATAGCAGAGTAATATTCCATTGCATTAAAAAACATATCTTTAACCATTCATCAGTTAATGGCATTTGGGCTGTTTCTAAGATTTAGCTATTACAAACTGTATTACTATAAATATGAGTGTGCAAATATTGCTGTGGCATGATGCTGTTAATTCTTTCAGGAAGATACCAAGAAGGGAAATGGAACCTCTAGTTTTAGTCTTTTGAAAAATACAGTGATTTTCACAGTCTATTTTCTCACCATAGTAGAGAAAGTTCCTTTTTCTGCATAGCCAGTCAGCATTTGTCGTTGATTGATTTCATGATGACAGCCATTCTTTTTGGAGTGAGATGGCTCTCAGCATTCTTTTAGTTAGTGTTTCTTGAATGACTCATGAAGATAAATATTGTTTCATATATTTATTTGCTGTTTCTACTTCAACTAAGAAGCATCTGTTCATTTCAGATGCCCATTTTTGGATTGGGTCTTTAAATTTAGGTGGGGGGGGTCTGTTTTTTTTTTAATTCTTTATATATTCTAGATATTAATACTTTGAGGAACATCTGGCAAAAGTTTTCCCACTCCATAGGTTGTCTCTTCATTGTGTTGGTGGTTTTTCTTACTGTGCAAAACCTTTCTAATTTGTGATAGGCGCTGTGCAGTTGTGGTTCTGTTTATGAAGTGTTAGCCTACACCAATGTCTTCAGCAATTTTATCAGTTCTATCTTCCAGCAGATTCAGTGTTTTTATTTTAATATTTAGATGTTTGATCTATTTAGATTTTAATTTAGTAAATGGTGAAACATACCAGTCTACTTTTGATCTTTGTCATGTGGAAAGCCAGTTTTTCCAGCACCATTTATGAAAGAGGTATCTTTCATCCAGTGAAAGTGTTTGCTTCCTCTGTCAAAAACAGAGGAGGCTAAAGATGTTTTGAGTTGTTTCTGTATCCTCTAATCTGTTCCATTGAACCTTGGGTCTGTTTGTTTGTTGTTAGTTTTTTGTTGTTGTTGTTTTTTGGCAGTACCATGCTGTTAACCACAGTTGCGTTGTGGTATAATTTCAAGTCAGGAATTGTGATGCTTTGTCTTTATTGTCCAGAATTTGCTATACTAAGTCTCTTCTGGTTCTAAATGATTTTTTTAGGATTATTTTATATAATTCTGTGAAATATGATGTTGGTATTTCAATCAGGATTGCATTAAATCTGTAACAATTTTGAAAGTACGACTATTGTCATTATATTGGTTTTCCTACCTAAGAACAATGAATGTCTTTCCATTTTTTGATCTCCTTTATGATATCTTTTTTTTTAGAGGACTGTAGTTTTTAATGTAAACGTCTTTTACTATCTTTATTAGATTGAGTCCTAGATATTTCATTTTGGGGGGGATATTATGAAAAGTGTTGCTTACAGAATTTCTCTCACAGTGAGTTTGTTATTTGTATACAAGAAAGCTATTGATTTTTTTTTGTCTTTTTCTTTTTTATTGGTACCGGGGATCGAACTCACGACTGCCTGCTTGCAAGGCAGGCGCTTATGCCGCTGAGCTAAATCCCCAGCCCCTAAAGCTATTGATTTTTGAGTGTCAACTTTGTATCCAGCTATGGTATTAAATTTGGTTGTTAAATGTAAGTCTTTTGTTGGAGTTTTTGGGGTTTTCTGTGTAGAGCATGATGTCATCTGCAAATAATGATAGTTTTATCTCTTGCTTTCTCATCTTTATTCCTTTTTTTCTCCTTTTGTCTAATTACTCAGGCTAATGTTTCCAGAATTATCTTGAATAAAAGTAATGATAGCGGACAGCCTTATATTGTCTCTAATTCCAGAGTGCAAGTTTTTTAGGTTTTGTCCATTTTATATGATGTTTGCCATTGGTTTTTTATAGATGGCTTTTGTCAGATTGAAAGACCATCTATTCCAATTTTCTTTAGGGTTTTTTTTTTTTTTTTAATCATGAATGTGCATTGGACTTATCACTTTTTTTTTTTTTTTTGTATTTTTACCGGTACCAGGGATCGAACTCACGACTACAGGCTTGCAAGGCAGGCACTTATGCCGCTGAGCTAAATCCCTAGCCCCTATCAAACACTTTTTATGCATCTGTTGAGTTGATCAAAAGATTTTGTCCTTGGCTCAGTTAATATGGTATACTATATTTATTTGCATATGTTGAATCATCGCAAACCACTGGAATGAATTCTATTTGGTTATAATTTATAGCTTTCTTGATAATTTGCTGCATTCTGTTTGCCAGTATCTTATTGAAGATTTTTGTATCTGTGTTCATTAGGGAGATTGGCCTTTAGTTCACTTTTTGGTTGGATCCTTCTCTGGTTTGGTATCAGGGTAATGGTTGCTTATTAAAGGAGTGAATTTGGGAGTATTGCTTTCTTCTCAATTTCATTAAAGAATCTGAGACACAGTAGAATTATATCTCTAAATTTCTTGTAGAATTGAGCATTGATCCTTTAAGGCTTGGGCTTTTATTGGTAGGTTTTTAATTATATCTTCAATTTCATTGACTAATACTGGTTTATTTAGAATTTTCTTATCTTGATTTAGCTTTCATAATTTATATGTATCTAGTAATCTGTCCATTTCATCTGTGTTTTTCCATCTTTGTAGAGTACAGATTCTTTTTTTTTTTGTCTTTTTCATTTTTATCGGTACCAGGGATCGAACTCGCCACCGCCTGCTTGCAAGGCAGGTGCTTATGCCACTGAGCTAAATCCCCAGCCCCAGAGTACAGATTCTTGAAGTAGGTATAGATGATGTTCTGGATTTCTGCTGGATCCATTCTGATTTCACCTTCTTCATTCCTAATTACATGGAGTTGAGTCTTTTCTTTCCCTTTTTAAAAAATAAGGTTGGCTAAGAGTTTGTCAATTTTATTTAATCTTTCAAAGAACCAACTCTTTGATTCATTAATTCTTTGTATTGTTTTCTTAGTCTCCATTGCATTAATTTCTGCTCTGATCTTTGTAGTTTCCTCCCTCCTATGAGCTTTAGGCTTGACTTGCTCTTTTTCTAGAAGCTTAAGATTCAACATTAAGTTGTTTATTTGAGATCACTCTGTTTTCTTGTTATGGATATTGACCACTGTAAATTTCCCTGGCAAGATTGCTTTTATTGTATCCCGTAAGTTTCAGTATATTATACTAGTATTATTGTTTAATTGTAGAAACTGTAAATTTCTTCTTTGATTTTATCTGTGGCCCACTGGTTGTGCAGGAGGGTGTTACTTAATTTCTATGTGTTTATGAAGTTCTCGTGATTTTTTTGCCATTGATTTCCAATTTCATGTCACTATGGTCTGAAAATATGCATGGGATAATTTCAGTTCCTTTGCATTTACTTAAGCACGTTCTGTGAGCTGGTATGTGATCTATTTTGGAGACTGTTAAGTGCACAGTTGAGAAGAATGTGTATTCTGATGTTATGTGGTGGAACACTGTAGACATCTACTAAGTCTATTTGTTTAAAAGTTTATCTCAGTTTTGATACTTCTTTGTTGATTTTTTTGTCTAGTTTATCTACTTGTAACAATCGGGTATTAAGGTTTCCCAGTACAATTATATTATAGCTTATTTGATTTTTCAAGTCCAGTAATGTTTGTTTTATATAATTGGATGTGCTGGTTTTTGGTGCATATGTGATTATTATCTCTTCCTTCTGGATTATTCCTTTTATTAGAATATGGTGACCTTCTTTGTCTTTATTCCTTTGTCTTTATTAATCATTGTTGTCTTCAAATCTACTTTGTCTGCAAATAGAATGTCTTCCCCTACTTTTTTGAGGGTTCTTGCTTTATGGAGTATTGTTGGATCTTGCTTCTTGATCCATTCTGCTACTTTCTTTGGATTCGTGAATTGAGACCGTTTACATTGATGGTAATAACTGATATGTACTGAGTTATCCTTGTCATGTTATTTTTCTGTTATTGCCTCTTTTTTTCTCTGTTTACTTATTTGTCTTACCTGGTGGTTCATTCTGTTGGGTGTCCTTTTTATCTCTTTCTAAATGTATGGCAGAATACTTTAGAGGGCTGATTTGGTGTTCATGAATTTAGGTGTTCTTTGTCATGGAAGTATTTATTTTTCCATCAACTTTGAAAGATATTTGGTTTTGGGAGGTAGTTCTTTCTGGGATGGAGTTTGTTTTCTGTTAGGGCTTGAAATACTTCACTCCAAACTCTCTGTGACTTGATGGCTTGTGTTAAGATATCTGCTGTGATTATGAGGGGCTTTTCTTTACTCGTGTCTTTATTTCTAATGGCTTTTAATGTTCTGCTCTTGTCTTGAATTTTTGGAGTTTTGACTGTTACATATCTTGGCATAGACTTTGTTTTCATTGTAGCTGGTTGGAGTTTTATATCCCTCACTTCTC